CTGGTCGTACCGACCACGCTGATGGACGCATTAAAAGGTAGTCAACAGGGACGCTGCCTGGCCGTACTGACCACGCTAAATGGACGAATTAAAGGTAGTCAACAGGGACGCTGCCTGGTCGTACTGACCACGCTGATGGACGTATAATAGTTAGCCAACATGATTGCTGCCTGGTCGTACAGACCAAGCTTATAGACATACCATAGCTAGCCACCAATAATGCTTTCTGGTCGTACCGACTATACGGTTGTACGTTAGGTAGAAAACAGAACAGCTATCTGAATATAGACATCACACACCCTTTATTGCCGTGCTGACTAAATTTAGACATCACACACCCTATCTTGTCGTGCTGACTAAATGTAGACATCACACAACCTTTCTTGTCATTCTGACTGAATATAGAGATCACACACCCTATCTTGGCGTGCTGACTAAATGGAGACATCACACACCCTATCTTGTCGTGCTGACTAAATGTAGACATCACACAACCTATCTTGCCATTCTGACTGAATATAGACATCACACACCCAATCTTGCCGTGCTGACTAAATGTAGACATCACACACCCTATCTTGTCGTGCTAACTAACTGTAGACACCACCCAACCTATCTTGTCGTGCTGACTGAATATAGAGATCACACACCCTATCTTGTCGTGATGACTAAATGTAGACACCACACAACCTATCTTGCCATTCTGACTGAATATAGAGATCACACACCCAATCTTGCCGTGCTGACTAAATGTAGACATCACACACCCTATCTTGTCGTGCTAACTAAATGTAAACACCACACAACCTATATTGTCGTGCTGACTAAAGATAGATATCACACACCATATCTTGCCGTGCTGACTGAATATAGACATCACACACCCTAGATTGCCGTGCTGACTAAATGTAGACACCACACAACCTATATTGTCGTGCTGACTAAAGATAGATATCAATTAATATGTCTTGTCGTGCTGACTAAATGATGACACCACACAACCTATCTTGTCGTGCTAACTTAAGGTAAACACCACACAACCTATCTTGCCGTGCTGACTGAATATAGTCATCACATACCCTATGTTGTCGTGCTGACTAAATGTAGACATCACACAACCTATCTTGCCATTCTGACTGAATATAAACATCACACACCCAATCTTGCCGTGCTGACTAAATGTAGACATCACACAACTTATCTTGCCGTGCTGACTAAATGTAGACATCACACAACCTTTCTTGTCATTCTGACTGAATATAAACATCACACACCCAATCTTGCCGTGCTGACTAAATGTAGACATCACACACCCTATCTTGTCGTGCTAACTAATTGTAGACACCACCCAACCTATCTTGTCGTGCTGCCTTAATGTGGACACCACACAACCTATATTGTCGTGCTGTCTAAAGGTAGATATCACACACCATATCTTGCCGTGCTGACTGAATATAGACATCACACACCCTAGATTGCCGTGCTGACTAAATGTAGACACCACACAACCTATCTTGATGTGCTGCCTAAATGTAGACATCTATTGTCGTGCTGACTAAAGGCAGATATCACACACCATATATTGCCGTGCTGACTGAATATAGACATCACACGCCCAATCTTGCCGTGCTGACTAAATGTAGACACCAAACAACCTATCTTGATGTGCTGCCTAAATGGAGACATCACACAACCTATATTGTCGTGCTGACTAAAGATAGATATCACACACCATATCTTGCCGTGCTGGCTGAATATAGACATCACACACCCTATATTGCTGTGCTGACTAAATGTAGACATCACATACCCTATATGTCGTGATGACTAAATGTATACACAACACAGCCTATATTGCCGTGCTGAATGAATGTAGAGATCACATGCCCTATCTTATTGTGCTGACTAAATAAGAGATCACACACCCTATCTTGTCGTGCTAACTAATTGTAGACACCACCCAACCTATCTTGTCGTGCTGCCTTAATGTGGACACCACACTACCTATATTGTCGTGCTGTCTAAAGGTAGATATCACACACCATATATTGCCATGCTGGCTGAATATAGACATCACACGCCCAATCTTGCCGTGCTGACTAAATGTAGACATCGCACACCCAATCTTGTCGTGCTGACTAAATGTAGACACCACACAACCTATCTTGAGGTGCTGCCTAAATGTAGACATCTATTGTCGTGCTGACTAAAGGCAGATATCACTCACCATATATTGCCGTGCTGACTGAATATAGACATCAAACACACTAGATTGCCGTGCTGACTAAATGTAGACACCAAACAACCTATCTTGATGTGCTGCCTAAATGTAGACATATATTGTCGTGCTGACTAAAGGTACACCCAATCTTGCCGTGCTGACTAAATGTAGACACCACACAACCTATATTGTCGTGCTGACTAAAGGTAGATATCACACACCATATATTGCCATGCTGACTGAATATAGACATCACACACCCTATGTTGCTGTGCTGACTAAATGTAGACATCACATACCCTATATGTCGTGATGACTAAATGTAGGCACAACACAACCTATATTGCTGTGCTAACTGAATATAGACATCACACACCCAATCTTGCCGGGCTGACTAAATGTAGACATCAGTGCTGACTGAATATAGACATCAAACACACTAGATTGCCGTGCTGACTAAATGTAGTCACCACAAACCCTATCTTGTCATGCTGACTTAATGAGGACACCACACAACCTATCTTGTCGTGCTGCCTTAATGTGGACACCACACACCGTATATTGTCGTGCTGTCTAAAGGTAGATATCACACACCATATTTTGCCGTGCTGACTGAATGTAGTGATCACATACCCTATCTTATTGTGCTGACCAAATGTAGAGATCACACACCCTATCTTGTCGCGCTGACTAAATGCAGACATCACACCCCCTATCTTGCCGTGCTGACTAAATGTAGGCATCACACAACCTTTCTTGTCATTCTGACTGAATATAAACATCACACACCCAATCTTGCCGTGCTGACTAAATGTAGATACCACACAACCTATATTGCCGTGCGGACTAAATGTAGACATCACATACCCTATCTGGTCGTGCTGACTAAATGTAGACATCAGACACCTTATCTTGTCGTGCTAACTAACTGTAAACACCACACAACCTATCTTGTCGTGCTAACTTAAGGTAAACACCACACAACCTATCTTGATGTGCTGCCTAAATGTAGACATCACACCCCCTATCTTGCCGTGCTGACTGAATATAGACATTATAGACATCACACACCCTATGATGCTGTGCTGACTAAATGTAGAGATCACACACCCTATCTTGTCGTGCTGACTGAATCTAGACACCAGACAACCTATATTGCCGTGCTGACTAAATGTATACATCACACAACTTATATTGTCGTGCTGACTAAAGATAGATATCAATTAATATGTCTTGTCGTGCTGAATAAATGATGACACCAACCAACCTATCTTGTCGTGCTAACTTAAGGTAAACACCACACAACCTATCTTGTCGTGCTAACTTAAGGTAAACACCATGTCGTGCTGACTAAAGATAGATATCACACACCATATCTTGCCGTGCTGACTGAATGTAGAGATCACATACCCTATCTTATTGTGCTGACCAAATGTAGAGATCACACACCCTATCTTGTCGTGCTAACTTAAGGTAAACACCATGTCGTGCTGACTAAAGATAGATATCAATTAATATGTCTTGTCGTGCTGACTAAATGTAGACACCACACAACCTATATTGCTGTGCTGACTGAATATAGACATCACACACCCTATCTTGCCGTGCTGACTAAATGTAGACATCACACACCCTATCTTGTCGTGCTGACTAAATGTAGTCACCACACACCCTATCTTGTCATGCTGACTTAATGTGGACACCACACAACCTATCTTGTCGTGCTAGCTGAAGGTAGCCACCAGAAACCATTTATTGTCATGCTTACGAAATAGGAAGCCGTCCGAAACCCCTTTGATTTTGTGCTGACCATGCTATTCGGCAGAGTTTTCATCAACAAAGCTTGATCAGCTTCATAGACGCGACTGACATTTTCCATAACATTCCAGGTTGACTTATAACATATTTATATACACAATATTGTGTTGTTTGACAGACCAGTTATCTTCAATTTCCAAATGCATATACATTATCTTTACATTAATTCTAAATCAAATGATTTTTGAGGATTTTTGCCAGTTTGTTAAACCATGCGGAAAACGAAAGACCCATTGAAGTCTCCTTTCTCTCATAACTCAGTATGGCCGACAGTCCGAACTCATTCTTGCCTTGTCTCGGCTACGTCTAATCCTCATATTTTCCTGTGTAAAACCTAGGTGTAATGTACCTTTCTGTCCATAAATCAAAATTCGGTTTTAATTTCGATCTAAAGTAAGGAGTACTCGATCAAACTAGATACACTGTTCTGCTCCAATCTATCATTTAGACGCTAATTCGTCCCTGGCTCCATTTCCATTTGACGATAAATGCGTACGCACCGCACTAACGCTTACTCCAGACGGGAAATGCGGTGTCAAATGGGAAGTACATCAAGCGTCACGTGACAGGATTTACAGACGCGTGAGTGATGCTCAGATTGTACAATGTTGTGATATATGATACATGGTTGTGATATCATGGTAAATCTTGGCGATACTGTTATATTGGGTTTTGTTTTGAGACTAAGGTATCCCTGTGTTCTGACGCAGGGATAATATATCGTGCCATAAGGCAATATAATTTTTATTATGTGGTGTGATGTATTGCCACGGTTCAGATATGACAAAGAACTCCGACTTTAGACTCGTTCTATATTTGTTGCTCTGCAAAAGGCGACATCATGACGCCATGTAACGATGTCTGTAATGATGACGTGACACCCGTCTGCAATCAACACGTCGTACAGATACATTATTGGACAGTACATATTTACGGTATTGTCAAACTGACCAATACTTACTGACTTTCCTCCAGAGGATGTAAAATACCCAGTAACCGCGGGTGTTTAAACTTCTCCAGCAGCTGGACACCTTGTCGTAGTATTTCAGACACTGTCTCTCGCCTCCTCGGTTTGTGGAGCTTGTCGGCAATCTTCTTCTCAAAGATACACACCGATGCTTCCTGTTAAAGACGAAAAACATCACATTGGCATCGATTCATTATAGTGGTTACGATGTCTAAGTATGCTCTTACCCATTACTGGTGTGTGACGTGTTCGGTATACGCTAACCGTTTACAGTTGTGTGACATGTTCGGTATACGCTAACCGTTTACTGGTGTGTGACGTGTTTGATATACGCTAACCGTTTACTAGTGTGTGACGTGTTCGGTATACGCTAACCGTTTACAGGTGTGTGACATGTTCGGTATACGCTAACCGTTTACTGGTGTGTGACGTGTCCGGTATACACTAACCGTTTACTGGTGTGTGACGTGTTCGGTATACGCTCACCGTTTACAGGTGTGTGACATGTTCGGTATACGCTAACCGTTTACTGGTGTGTGACGTGTTCGGTATACACTAACCGTTTACTGGAATGTGACATGTTATACGCTAACCATTTACTGGTGTGTGACATGTTCGGTATACGCTATCCGTTTACTGGTGTGTGACATGTTCGGTATACGCTATCCGTTTACTGGTGTGTGACATGTTCGGTATACGCTATCCGTTTACTGGTGTGTGACATGTTCGGTATACGCTAACCGTTTACTGGTGTGTGACATGTTCGGTATACGCTAACCGTTTGCAGGTGTGTGACGTGTTCGGTAAACGCTAACCGTTTACTGGTGTGTGACATGTTATACGCTAACCGTTTACTGGTATGTGACATGTTCGGTATACGCTAACCGTTTACAGGTGTGTGACGTGTTCGGTAAACACTAACCGTTTACTGGTGTGTGACATGTTCGGTATACGCTAACCGTTTACTGGTGTGTGACGTGGTCGGTACATTGTATACGCTAACCATTTACATGGTGTGTGACATGTTCGGTATACACTAACCGTTTACTGGTGTGTGACGTGGTCGGTACATTTTATACGCTAACCATTTACTGGTGTGTGACATGTTCGGTATACGCTAACCGTTTACTGGAATGCGACATGTTATACGCTAACCATTTACTGGCGTGTGACATGTTCGGTATTCGCTAACCGTTTACTGGTGTGTTACATGTTCGGTAAACGCTAACCGTTTACTGGTGTGTGACGTGATCGGTATACGCTAACCATTTACTGGTGTGTGACATGTTATACGCTAACCATTTACTGATATGTGACATGTTCGGTATACGCTAACCGTTTACAGGTGTGTAACGTGTTCGGTAAACGCTAACCGTTTACTGGTGTGTGACATGTTCGGTATACGCTAACCGTTTACTGGTATGTGACGTGGTCGGTATACGCTAATCGTTTACAGGTGTGTGACATGTTCGGTATACACTAACCGTTTACTGGTGTGTGACGTGTTCGGTATACGCTAACCGTTTACTGGTATGTGACGTGATCGGGATACGCTAACCATTTACTGGTGTGTGACATGTTCGGTATACGCTAACCGTTTACTGGTATGTGACGTGATCGGGATACGCTAACCATTTACTGGTGTGTGACATGTTCGGTATACGCTAACCGTTTACTGGTGTGTGACGTGTTCGGTATACGCTAACCGTTTACTAGTGTGTGACGTGTTTCGTATACGCTAACCGTTTAATGATGTGTGACGTGTTCGGTATACGCTAACCGTTTACTAGTGTGTGACGTGTTTCGTATACGCTAACCGTTTAATGATGTGTGACGTGTTCGTTATACGCTAACCGTTTACTGATGTGTGACGTGTTCGGTATACGCTAACCGTTTACTGGTGTGTGACATGTTCGGTATACGCTAACCGTTTACTGGTGTGTGACGTGTTCGGTATACGCTAACCGTTTACTAGTGTATGACGTGTTTCGTATACGCTAACCGTTTACTGGTATGTTACATGTTCGGTATACGCTTACCGTTTACTGGTGTGTGACGTTTTTGGTATACGCTAACCGTTTACTGGTGTGTGACGTGTTCGGTATACGCTAACCGTTTACTAGTGTGTGACATGTTCGGTATATGCTAACCGTTTACTGGTGTGTGACTTTTTTGGTATACGCTAACCGTGTACTGGTGCGTGACATGTTCGGTATACGCTAACCGTTTACTGGTGTGTGACGTGTTTGGTATACGCTAACCGTTTAATGATGTGTGACGTATACGCTAACCGTTTACTGGTGTGTGACATGTTCGGTATACGCTAACCGTTTACTGGTGTGTAACGTGTTTCGTATACGCTTACCGTTTACTGGTGTGTGACATGTTCGGTATACGCTAACCGTTTACTGGTGTGTGACATGTTCGGTATACGCTAACCGTTACCTGGTGTTTTACATGTTCGGTATACGCTAACCGTTTACTGGTGTGTGACGTGATCGGTATACGCTTACCGTTTACTGGTGTGAGACGTGTTCGGTATAAGCTAACCGTTTACTGGTATCTGTAGCACGTCCCGTTTGTACGCATTCTTTACATATATACAATGCACCGTCACATCTCTATGACCATATTTATGGTGGATGAAAAAAGCTAAGGTTTATTAATTTTGATTAAGGATGATATTTTTTCTTTTGAAGAATTGGTTTTGCAGTGCGCATTACCTTTACAGAATGGCAAAAGTGCATTACATTGGAGCCAGGCGCGGCTATACTACAAAATTACAAACTGCCGTCAGAAAAATGATAAAGGATGGGGTTTGGTTATATAAACATCGAATATTTCCAATATTTATCATGTTATAGCAAAGAGAAACTTAATCGATTTGTAATAACTACGCAAACGTCCAAAGGTTTCCAGAATTTGGCTTTCGGTAATATTTACATACTCTCTCTCTTTATTTGCCAAATATCGTTATATTACAACACACCATAACTCGTATTACCGTTACACATTGGCGGTAAGCATATGAAGGGTTAAAAGACGGAATTTTAAATTAATCCCTTACATTTCAGATACATTTGAAATTAAATAAACAAAAGCATGCTTGTTAAACCAACAGAATTGTATTATTTCGTCTGACCACAGCAACAAATGGGATAAAGAAAGATTACATAATTACCATTCACGGTGGTTAGCTGAAAATAAGGCTACATAAATGTCACCCGTACTAATTAGCAGAAGGAAGCTGTGCAGTGAACGGTACAATTAATACTGAGATTCGTTTGAAATCAAACATGCTAAGTTCAGTTAGCAATGACGGTGTCTGCTAACCACCAGCAATGACGGTGTCTGCTAACCACCAGCAATGACGATTTGGTAGTTTAAACTGCTACTGATGGAAATTAGCAGAGACAAGCGTTGTTAAGTGTATCGTTCGTATTCCATGGACGTATGTCTTAGTTGATACGAAATAACATAAATCTATTCAAATTGACTATTTCCGCTAACTTCTTCAACATTGGCAATTTTAAGTCATAACTGAAATTAATGCCATTTTACCTAGTTTCACTCAAGATTACCTACTATTAGTACACATTGGTAGTGCTTTACAGAAACTAGCATAATTAAAAGTCTTTTGTATGTTTTGCATCAATGTAGGACTGGTGGTAACATTTAAAGAATTTCCTTTTAACTCATTTCTGGTAATTGCAAAGAATTGCAATTAAGAAGCCTGCAGAAACTCGAGTGTTTTACACAATCGGTGACTTCCTCGGACAGGAACTCTTGTTCAAAACTATGGATAATGAAAGGGTTCTATAACCTTTAATTATGATAAACCGTTTAATTCTGTAAATTGTGTACATATAAAGATGAGTTCATTGAACCTGTTTAAGTAAAACAAGTCTAGATCTCTTCTATGAGCAATTTGAGTACAAGCGAGTGGTGTTTCTGTGTGCTGCGCTGACAAGCCCTACTTATAACGGTTAGCGATACTTTCGATTTGTCCTAGATGTCTGCTTTAGGAAACAGATTGAGGTGCACGTCGCATCGGAGATGGTTTTAATGATGTATCGAATGTGTACAGACATGCTATTACATTGGTGACTACGTATACGGAGTCTCATTTTGAGGTTAGAAATGCAATAAGGCGATGCCCTGTGTCCCCATGATTGGATTATATAACCGCTATCACATACATGTACAGCATGCTCTCACTTCCATTAGACATGCAGTGCACGCGAGTAGCAGACTGGCACTACATAGAAATATGGCTACGCACGGCCATATGGTTCGGGCGAGATGAGACTTGGTAAACATTCTAAATCTATATAAAGCAATATCAAATACAGAACTAGTAGAAAAGGTGTAATACGATAAGCACATGTATAGGTTACAAGCACAGTTACAAAATAATAACTAATGAATAAATACTATATTTAAATATATTAATACTAAGTCCGTAATTTAGGAGCTGTTATTTTTCTTTAATATACAAAACACATTATTGAACATCAACAAACACATCGTTAGGAAATTTTTGACCTTTATATAGTCGAGAAATGTCATATTATTTTATAAATATCCTATCGAATTCAAGAAGTGAAACAACAATTACTGTTTTCATATGATCTACTTTCTTCAGAAAAATGCTATCCAGGTGAACGTATATGATTAACGTTACGTATCCCAGTTCAAATAAACTACGTACAGAAACTTGGAGAATCAGCAAATCAGAAATAGCTACAGATATGAATCAAATCATAAAACTTTTTTTTTTTAAATATAAAACATCCTTGAATTAATTGTGTGTTTTTTTTAATATGGATTGGCCTGAAGTTCCCTTTATAGTATTAGCAACGAGAGTAAGCCATAACAGATAGGCTTGCAACATAGTGTTCCGACTTTAACAAATACCGACCTTGACGCATAGCGATGGGCGAATCTTTGGGAAAGCCACGTGTGGTTAACCAAAACGTTTGTCACAGCACAAGAATATAACAGTATAACGCGTAGACCATTTATCGGCGTCTTTAAGACGCTTCAAGGTTTTTTGTGCATCAGGATTTACCAATTTGGCACCTTATAATCACTGAATGAAAATGTACCTTTTGGACAATATAACTTGGTTTTCAGAATTTGGCGCTTACAAGTC